GCTTCGTCACAGCCGCTGGGGACGGGGCTGCCCTGCGGAAGCTCCTGCCGCCCTGCCCTGCGCTGCGCTGCGCTGCCCTGCCTGGGGGCAGCCCGGGCCGCAGCAGCCACAGGCGCTGCCTCTGGGGTGCAGAAGTAGCAGCTGTTGCAGCAGTGTCTGGTGGCGCTGCCCCATGCTGCCAGGCGATGCCTCAGCTTGGGGTAATGTGCGGCTAGCTACTCTTCTCTCCTTTATTTGGAAGCTCCTGCCGCCCTGCCCTGCGCTGCGCTGCGCTGCCCTGCCTGGGGGCAGCCCGGGCCGCAGCAGCCACAGGCGCTGCCTCTGGGGTGCAGAAGTAGCAGCTGTTGCAGCAGTGTCTGGTGGCGCTGCCCCATGCTGCCAGGCGATGCCTCAGCTTGGGGTAATGTGCGGCTAGCTACTCTTCTCTCCTTTATTTGGCTGCAGTGATGACGTGTGGAGGGGGGCACAGGGGTGCACATGCACCCCCTGAGAGCGCTGGCAGTGCTCCCGGCTTAGGTGACAGGCAGGGGGGGCAGGCAAGAGTGTCTGTGCCCCCCACCCTGAATGCTGGCTGGGGAGTGGGGGCGCCAGGAGAAGCGCCACTGGCACTTTCTGGTCAGCAAGATTGTCTGTGGGGGACCCCCCCCCCCCGCCCCCCCGTCCGTGAGATTAGTTGCGGGAGGAACCCCTTTGCCCCATCACTGACTGGCCCCTGGGGGGGGGCACGTGCCCCTCCTGACTCAGGTGGCACCAGTTGCCCGTGTGTTGTTGTCACCTACTGTCTTTGGTCCAGTGCTTCTAACCTTTTTAGACTTGAAGTACCTCGTGGGAAACGCCAGATCGTAGCTTTCATGTATTTTCCGAGTACAAATAGAGCAGTTGTTCAGTGGCAAAGAACTTGGAAAGACCCTGTAGGTCAGGGTGTTTCTCATGTTGTTTGGATTCCTGTTTGAAAGCTCTAGTTTTCTGTGTGTGTGTCCTTTAACAGCATCTTATGAAGTTAGCTTGGGTGTATAAAAGCTTATGCTATACATTTCTGATGTGGTTAGTCTGCTAGGTGCACATCTACCCTGCCTCTTATTTTGTGGATGATGTTTATACAGCGCTAACGCTGCAGGGGATGCTGTGCAGCACCCTTGAAAAGATCTCGATACCGCAGGGTGCTATGACACCTTGGCTGAGAATCGTTTCTCTGGACTCTTTCCAGCTAGCTTTCAGTCATGTTTGTGGCTTAAGTTTCCACATTGATGATGTCTCATCTGAGTTTCATTACCAACTCATATGATCTTCAATCATGGATCAGCTCTTCTGTTTATGAGAACAACTGGTCACATATGGTTGGTGAAATAAGCGATCTCAACTGTGCTGTTGGTCCAATAACAAATATTACTCACAAAAATCCATCCTACCAACCGTTACTCAGTCTTTCTGACTCTCACCTCATTTTGTTTAGCTTAACTCACTTGTCCCTGCTCTGGACCTTAAAGGACTGCCAGTCGATTGAAGTTCTTCATTTTCTCTTTCTCTCCAGCTTTCAAGTGGTCCTCTCATCACCAGTGACTACTTTGATCATCTCCCTGGGTTTTGGTTGTAGCCGTGTTGGTCTAAGGACATAGTGAGGCAAGGTTCTTTGAGTAGATGTGATACCTTTTATTAGAGCTTGGGTGTATAATTTTTTATATATATTTTTTTAATATAATTTTTTTCTAATAAAAAATACCACATCTACTCAAAGACCCTTGCTTGATTATCTTCCAGGATTTGTTCTCTTTGTGGAGGAAGTTCCATAGTCATGTGACAATTATCCACAACACTGTGTTTTCTTCAAGTCTGCTGCTTCCTGGTCAAGCAGTAATACATTTCCCAATCTCTAGTTTATATGCAGTCTTTTCACTGTCCTCAAACCCTTCTCCCTTTATCCTGTAATTTTCTTGCTGTAGGATTTTAGTGACTTCTGCTACAACTGTCATGCTCCTTCACACCTTCATTTTGTGGTAATCCCCCATCTCTGCTTCTCTTAAGACTTTGAGGTCTCCTCTCCTCATCTTGGCTTCCCTTCATCATCTTTACTACTCTCATCCCCCTTCTAATCTTTCCATCCCTTAAGTAGATTCTTTCAGTTTATTGTGGTCTTCTGGTTCTTTTCCTTCTTGTTGTTCTGACTTTTCTCATCCTTGGATCTGGCAGTCCACAATATCCTGCCTCCAAATATCTCCTTTCACCTTCAGACTTAGTGAACAAGTACTTTACAGTTGCTTCCTTGAGTTCTCTCTTCCATCTCCATTGTGGATTTCTTCCACATGCTGCAAAAACAACTTACTTTTCTGAGCCAAATCTTAAGGATTCTACTACCTCTTTCTGCTCCCTGCCCTGTGCTCCTTTTATCTCTATTGCTTTTGATGCCATCACTCTTTTTTCTGTTCTAACTTGCCTTCTACAATACTGTTTTCTCAGCCTCCTCTTCCTGTTCTGTTCCTTCTCCTTTATGTGACTTTGTGCTTCTTCATCTGTATTTTTACTTTAGATGGAAGGAGAGAGAACTAGTTGTAATCTGGCACCTCAGACTGTTTTTAATATCTGTTCTTAAAATATAGAATCATTTAGTATTAAAGGTGCACCGAAACATTGGTCCAATATCGGATCGGTACCGATATAAAGACAATTAAGTGTATTGGAAATCGGCTTCATGTGGCCATAATTTGGCCAATAAATGCCCATGCATGTGCGCAGCCGCAGCACAGCATGTAGGCAGCAAAGAGCATAGCCTGGCAGCTTGGAGAGCTGGGTGCAGCTGGTAAGTCTGTTGTGGTGGGAGGGGAGGGGAGAGGGAAGGGGCATGGGGCAGATCAAGGCCTCTGTGGTGAGGGAGGGAGTGGGGCTGGGGCTGGGACTGGAGCAGGTGCAGGACAGAACTGTGGCTTGTTTGGGGGGCATGGGGAGGGGGAGGTGGCATGGGGGGGTGCTGTGTGTCCCAGGATCTGATGCATGTGGGGGAGGAGGGCTGGGCTGGGCTGGGCCGAGCCGGGGCTGTGCTTGGGGGCAGGCGGTGGTGGCACTGGTAAGAGGGCTACGGAGGGGCTATGGCAAATTTTGCAGTGGCTGGGGGGCGCATCCCCTTCCCCCCCCTCCCCATAGCTTCCCCTCTCAGCACCACAGCTGCCCACCCCATCAGTACCTCGCACAGACCTGGGGGCTCACCAGTGCCCTCCTGGGGTGTATGTAGCAGCGGGAGCCACCCTGTACCCCCCAGATGAGCCATGACTCTGTCCGGTGCCCCACCCTGCACTAGCTGGGCAGCCCCTGCCCCAGCCCCACACCCACTTCTCCCTCACCGCAGGGGCCTTGATAGTTCCTTCCCATCCACCATAACAGACCTACCAGCTGCACACAGCTGTATCAAAAATTGGATCAGTATCTGCTGATATGTCTCCTTAAAAATCGGCTATTGGTATTGGCCCCCAAAATCTCTGTCGGTGCACCCCTATTTAAGTATGTGTCCAGTGGGGACCAACTTTTTATGGCAGGAATACCATAAATTAACCCCACACCTTCCCTGAGTGCCATTCTGATCCTTTCCTTTTACCCAATTTGCTCAGCTTTCTGCTGTCTAATGAGGCTGCTGCTCTGTCCTGCTTCCTGCCCTATGCTCCCAGCCTGGTCTGATGCTCTGCTTTATGCTTCCTGCCCTGTCTTCGACTGTGTTGCCTGACCTCTTTGCTATCTGTTGCATGCCATGTGTTGGCCACCCCAATCTTGTCCAGCCGTCCCATCATGCCATCAGATTAACACTAATAATATAACAGCAACTAAGCTCCACTTCTTTATTCTTAAACCTCAGTTGTTTCATTTTTGTTATCTTCCAAGCGTTGTTCTTTTTATCAAGCCTTTAACTTGAAAGGTGTGTCTGTGTGCATTTAACTCCTCTTTCCTTTATCTCACATGCTAAGTCCAGTTCATAACCTTTTGCTTTTTCCTGCATGATGTGTCTCTGATATGTCCTTAGTTCTCAATCTCTACAGCTGAAAGTCTCATTCAGGTTTTCTCCCCACCCCCCGGGTCTTGTCATCAGCTTAGGCCACTGGGGGCCAAACTTTTTTGCTGGCATGCCACAAATTAAATTCCATGCCTTCCCCAAGTACCATTCTGATCCCCTTCTCCTACCCAGTCTCCTGCTTTGCTTTCTGCTGTCTACCCTGTGCTCCCTACACTATCTGCGCTGTGCTTCCTGCCCCCGCTCTTATTTGCTGTGTCCATGGCACTTGACATATGTGTCACAGGTTGACCATCCCTGGCTTAGGCTAAGGTTTGTGTAAGAAGAACTTGGAAGGTTTCAAGGAACGGAATGCATAAGCAAACAAAGGACTTCTTTATAATTTTGGTGATGGCCTTGGTTTTACAAACTATAAGAATACACTGCTATAGAGGCTATCAGTGACATGCCTTGCAACAACTCTACCCTAAACTCCTGTACTTCTGGCATTCCAAAATGCTTTCTAGTAATTTCAAAGTAGTAGTTTTGTTTTCCTTGCTCTGCTGAGAATTTCTGAAACTCTTTTATCAAGGGTCTGTGACTGGAATGCTCTATGTGGAGTTAAATAGGATACAACAGTCGCACAGTTATTGGATATTTTGCAGTCATAGATATCTTAATGCTTACTATACCAGCTATATCAGCTGTTATGTTCTTTTAATTTTAATCAAGAGGGATGCGTATAACCTGGAGAGGGTCCAGAGAAGGGCCACTCATATGGTTAAGGGCTTGCAGGCCAAGCCCTACGAGGAGAGACTAGAGAGCCTGGACCTTTTCAGCCTGCGCAAGAGAAGGTTGAGAGGCGACCTTGTGGCTACCTATAAGTTCATCACGGGGGCACAGAAGGGAATTGGTGAGGTTTTATTCACCAAGGCGCCCCCGCGGGTTACAAGAAATAATGGCCACAAGCTAGCAGAGAGCAGATTTAGAATGGACATTAGGAAGAACTTCTTCACAGTTCGAGCGGCCAAGGTCTGGAACGGGCTCCCAAGGGAGGTGGTGCTCTCCCCTACCCTGGGGGTCTTCAAGAGGAGGTTGGATATGCATCTAGCTGGGGTCATCTAGACCCAGCGCTCTTTCCTGCCTATGCAGGGGGTCGGACTTGATGATCTGTTGAGGTCCCTTCCGACCCTAACATCTATGAATCTATAAACTTGCTACTTAAAACTGGCTATACTTAGACAGAGATTTATAAGGTTCTTATGTAATGTTGACTTGCTAGCTATCTACTAAAGCAGTGGCGGGGAGGTGCAGCCTTTTTAGTAGGAGCCCCACTTTGATTCCTTCCCCTTCATGGTCCACTGCTCTGCTTTATGCTCTCTGCCTGATTTCCTGCTCTGCTTTCTGCTCTCTGTCTTCTCTTTGCTGCT